TGGGTTGAGTCAGAGTTGCAGTGTGCTGGATAGCACAGGGTGTATGTGCATGAGCACATGAAATTGTTGAGAATTGTTCTGATAAAGATGGAGACATCTATACAGAGAGAGCCACGTAGCCGTGAAGGTGATGGAAATGATCTGTCCTGGAGGAGTTTCACCTAGGAGTCCTTTAGGGGTTGTGGTTGACCTTGGATGAGGTATGCTTCTTTAGGTCTTTTTTTCAAAGCTTTTTACCAAATTGTTATTGTTACATATCTATCCAAATCTGTTTGATGTTTTTTAACAAAATAAAGGCATTTACAGCCCAAAGTTGGCCTCTTCAAAATTTTTTTTTTTTTAAGAACTGAAATTTTAGGTTTAAATGTTTTAAGGATTCAGAATTTGAAGGAGACCACTAAACTACTGTAGAGATGAAGGTTTTCTAAACACATTTTTCCGTAAAACAAGGCTATACACAATCCGTAACGTGTGTGTAATAGGTGCTATTGCCAATTGCATTGATCGAAACCTTAGCATTATTCCTTGCAGTTTGCATTCTTTTCAGCTTGAACAATAAAGCTGGTCAGGTTACATTTGTGAATTAGCCGGATTCCTTGAAGTTTGTGGTTAAAATACTTAGAAGTACCGTTGTCTTTAAAACTAATTTCTTCTACTTCATTGTTGTTGTTTGTTGTTTTTTAATAGCAAATTGCTGAAGCCTTTCTGTTGACCCTAGCACTTACAAAATGCACCTATGGTTTCCAGACTTTCCTTGACAATTAATGTGAGCTTAATGCTTGAGCTTGTGAATTGGGATAGTTAATCATATTGGATGTGTTAGCAGCCTGTGATAAATACTGCTCGCTCATCTTTTCGTTGTAGGATTTGGCTGTCAGGTTACTCTGCTTTCTGTTTCCTACCCCACAAAATTCCAAAACGGGGATTCGCAGCCTTTTACCACCTTCCTTTTGTGGATGTGGGCAGGCTGAAGAGGAAGTTTGGCTTTGGAGATGAGTCGCTCAGTTCAGTCTGTACCCCGTGTAATGCTGCTCTGTTTCAAGTATATTCACCATCCTGTCGTAGAGAGTGAGCACTGTAAGTCCATCACAGGAAACAGTGGAAATGGCTTTCGTGACATTACAAAGCTGAGAGGTGATATGGGCCATCTGTGCCCTCTGAGAATATTTTAAGCAAATAGGATTTGGATTTAAATCCATATTACTAAGTAATTCTCCTTGGTACGTTTAGCTCCAGTTTGACTTAAGATGTAAAGAACCCTCTAAAGGGCAGCAAGGGTATATTCCACATCACCCTCTTCTGCTATATGGAGATTGTGTCTACAGTGCCTCGAGCAGCTGGCAGCAAAAAGGCACCAGTCTTTAGGAGCCTCCGACAGACAGCAGCAGCCAGAATGCCTTCCATCTGTCTGCACAGTGCTGTCGTTCATCAGCTGTTCATCATGTGTGACGGCTTGGCCTGCTCCAGAAGAGCTGAGACATGACTATGTCTACATATCCAGGAAGCATGTCAACCTTCATGCGTTTCAGGCTTGTATTTCATGATCCAGCATTGGGTGCTTGGCCTGTATGCGACTTTGTAAGATTCAAAGTGGTTGCCTTCATGGTCTGAATAGGCAGTAGCGTTTTCCTAAGAGCAGTCACTATTTCTAGTGGCATTAAATAAAGCAGAATTATATGACATGAAACGAAGTTAAAAGAAAAATAAGTTTAATATTAAATAAAGTCATTAACTCTGTTGGCTAGATCGTATCTTGATAGCGAATTGCATAGTTAAGTTCTCTTGGTTCAGTATCGTAAAAGCTGTTTAATTCTTCACCAGTGGAGTTGTGCTCCCTCCCTTGTGTTTACAGGCCTGCATTCCTATCCGAACAAACTCTTCTTTTCAGCAAGTTGGGAAAAGTAAGGGTCAGCTGTGCATCAAATCCTTGCATCCAATGTTTGGATACAGGCAGTAACTCATTGTATTTTTGAGTTACATTGCAGAATCTACTAACCTTACTTTCTTCTGTATTGCATTCTTTCCAAGCCTCTGCTAAAAGAACCGATACCTCTTGGGTACCGATGAGCAAACTTTTGGGGCAGCTCCTCACTGATCTCCGCACAATTTGTCTGAGTTCTTTTCTTGAATACTCTGGAAACAAGCAGCGCACAATGTGATTATTCCCAACCATCTGAGAGCAAATCCAATATATATGAGGTGGCGCTGAAACTGTGGCCCCTGAGATTTGCTAATTTGTAAATCTTATTCTAGAGAGTAGGTCAAGTCTAGATATACAGGTAGCATGGACAGATATTCTCCCTGTCAGAATGAGGTGCATCTGCCTCCTTCGCCCCCTACTTGCCAGTGTGCTCTGGATAGGGGGAAGTTTTGTAGGATGTCCCTTTGTCAGTACAATCTTTAACTAATTTTGATGAAGATACCCTACATACATTTCTGTTCTGCCAAAAGCTATTGAACTGTGGTACCAGGAAGCTGCATGTGCAGCACCTATCTTGAAACTGATGGCAGAATTCATGCAAACAGGTAAGAATCACGTGGAAATTAGCTAAGTGATGAATATTGCAGTGGTGTGCATTCTGTCTTTCAGGCTTTGTCTTCAGCATTGCTACTTCTGTAGATTTGGGAACAACATTCACAAACAAAATTCAGCTTTCAGCGTTGTTGTTTTACCATCAGGAACATGCAAGAACCTGCTGCAATTTTATATTAAAAGGTAGTGCAATAGTATGCTTTAACTAGAGATAAATATTGACTTCATAATTAAATATCTGAAAATAGTCTCCTGTCAAGGTTTGCTGCAGGCTGTCGTTGCCTTAAGCCAAGCAGTGTGCCTATGTGCCTCTCAAACTGCAGCTCCCTGACAGTTGTTTGGTTGTTTTTTTTTTCCTTAGTTCAAAATAGGAAAGAATATTATCCAACACAGCATTATTTATAATCAGCTTGTAAGTAGCTGGTCCCACAACTAAATTCTTCTTCATGGGCTCCCTGAAAAGGCCGCAGAACAGTTCTAGTAGCTGATGTCAACACTTTACATTGCAGGTGTTAAAATGAAGTTTCTCTTTTACCGCTGGTAACAGAAAAATTTATTTTGGGGATGTTTCAGATGGAAATATTTAGTGTATTGCCCAAAGGAAAAAATGAATTTGAAATGAGAAATGGATAGTTAGTGTCTCTGTGCTGGTTATCTTCGTGACCAAAGTAATTGGGGTTCTCAGCAGAACAGGGTGTGTTCACATCACTTTTTATCCAGCCTTGCAAGTCAGTCGTACAGGGAGAAAAGGTGCAATATTTCAAGTTTGAAGAATTACTTGTTGGAATGGAGTGGCAGGAAGGTGGTGCCTGAAATTGGTGAAGCGTGATGTGTGCTGGGGGCCTGCATGGCTGCACGGCCTAGAGGAGAGCTGCTGTGTGTGCAGACTGCCATGCCGTGGCTTCCTCTTTGGTTTGTGTGGGTAAATTATGCCTTTTATCCCAGTTGGGTTGTAGTCAAGGCTGGACAAGTTTAACCTATTCTTACTGACAGTGCCGTGCGCAAGCAGTGCACTCTAACAGTGCTGCAACTTGTTCCAAGGAGAGACTGTTAAAACATAAACACAGCACTCTAATAATAGCAAACTGAAGCAAAGAGGAACTGGAACAATAAATCTTATGCAAAAAATGACTACTTTCCATATTCATGTTGTTCTTCTGTCTATTGGTATTCAGAAAATCTGCCTTGTTCCCTTTAGAAAACATCATCTGGGATGGAGGTTTTCATGAGTTGTGTAGTGCATTAGTTTTTACAGGTTAGAATGCATTATACAATATACTTTGACATGGTTAAAACGTGTTACAGAGTATCAGATTTTGCATTATGCCACTCAGACATTGAGAAGATGTGCTCTTTTTGTTCTTGCCTCTGTGAGCCATTATCATTTTGAGCATGTGGAATCCACAAATATTTTGCATGCGGCACGTTTTGTTTATTGGTAAATACTCAGACTTACTCCATAATTTGAAGCAATGGGCGCTGCTTCAAGGGGCTCAGAAAACAAAAAGTTGGACTTAGAGCAGTGAAAGATAGCGACTGCTGTCTCTGTGACAGGGGTCTTACAATCCACATACCACCAAAAGCAGACTAACAAATGGGTCAGCCAGGGGTGCTCTGTGTTACATCTCACAGTGATAGCTCCTTTCCTGCTCAGGACAAACCAGCACTAAAGGTAAGGTTTTTTGCTAAAGTTACTCAGAAACTTAAGATCTGTGTTGAAAATCAATTTTTAAGTTCTAAATGGCTCTCACTTAGGCATAAACTGGAAGTTAAAATTCTGTATCAGGAGAGAATAGACAAACACAGCAGAGACTTTGGCAATAACTCTGCTGCGTTTCCAACTTGGGGACCAAATGGTTTGTGTTGGCTGTGCTAAAGTGTTTGCATCAGGAGAGAAAGCGTGGTTCCATCTTCTTAAGGTCTGCCTGTTCATAGAATGCATGTGTTGCAATTTACACTCACAGAACTGGCTTTTGATTGCCATGAATTTTATGTGGCAGAATAACCTGTGGGGATTGGCTGATTTTAGGAACAAGCAAGAGTAAAAGTTATCCCAACTAGTTGGACTGTGGGAACTCTGCGTCGTTCTTCTGAGCTGTATGCAGGCACAAGGTGCTCACAGGTCACCATGAAGGGAAGTATGTGTTGTCTTGTCACCATTTCTAGTTAAAATTGTTTCTTCTTTTGTCACCACTGTGTCTAAAGCAACCATATTTAGATAACTAGAGTCACGTCATTGGAGTGAAAGCTAGAATTTATTGAGTAAAGGTACTGTGTGATCAGCAAATACGTTTTCTCTGTTTTATGGAATAAGTCCTTGGCAGTTTTCTGTTTTGATGACCATCTGAGCACTTTTACTGTTATTTTTTTCAGGTCACGACGTTTAAATTTTGATGGATCATCTCCAAATGGAATTCTTCTCTTCAGAGAAGCTATTGAAATGATTTGTACCTACGGTAGGTATTCATTAAAATTTCCTCTGCAGTGTCATTCTTCGCCTGTCTCGTGCTACAGAAATCCTGTTAGTTCCTATCCCTGGCCACTGCTGAGTTTTAGAGAACAAAGCAGGACTGCCATGTACTGCCACCCATCTCAGCCCTTTGTGGGCTGCAGAGCTTACTGGCAGACCTTTGGAGCTCCTTTCTTTCACAGATGGGGATGCGTTCATGTAGCACTGTTGCTTGTATCACTCCAACAACTCTTTTAGCAGCTGTAAATGGATTTCAGCAAAGATACAAATACTCGTGAGGTGTTTGATCTCGGCTACTGATTGATAGGTGTGGGTTGATTTTATATATTCAAATTATATTCCAGCAGCTCCAAGACATAATAGGACCATAACAGCTTTACCCTAGAGCACTGTTACAACTGTTCATGATAAGTTGCTTCATTTTACTGTTCCCACTCAGGTATTCAGTTGCAACAGGTCTGTGACACCAACTGTTCGTAATAGACTCCAGCTAACTTTGTAGCTTAAAATTTCACTTCCTAAATATTTTGAAAGGAACATTACCAATATTTTTGCAGATTTGTGATTTGTGTATGAGGAAATAGCCATAAATGTCCTGCTACTTTTCAGGAGAGAAAACTGGTACATCAAATATGCTTTCAATGCATTCGGGCTGCATTTTAGGTCTGGAAATTGTGTTTGTTAGGTGGCTGCTTGTAAAAAAACCCTTTGGGTGTAATCTGCTTTTGAACTGCAGGGTATGGGAACGGTATATGCAGAATGCATTTATGTAGGACAGAAGAAAATTATCCGTCTAACTCTCACTCCTTGCCTTAACATTTCTCTGTTTTCTTTTTCAAAGACGCCACATTCTAAGCTGGCACAAACCTTCTAGCTATATTCTGAGGTACATTTGTGACACTGATTAAAACAAAAAAAAAAAAGGTTTTCCTTGTATGGGAAGAAAGAGGTAAACTTTGTGACTTTACTATAAAGTTTCTATTAGCTTTATACATAGTTTGCATTTAATGACTGGAAATTTTCTTTTGATGATATAAAGAAATGCAAATGTAATCTTGAGCTTCAAGCTCGCAGTACTCGACCCCACTGCCATTACATTTCCTTTTAATTGCAATCAGCCTTTACCATCATTTCTGCTCTTATTGAAACGATACCTAATGATTGTTCATCCAGTTATCTTAGCAGTGGGCCTCCAGTCTGTGATCCTTGCTTTGTCAGCCGCACAGCCCCAGTCTTCTTCATTCTTAACTCAGGTCTACAAAACGTTCTATTAAGAAACCTTCTGCTTTCAAATGCAAAACGTGTGTGTTTGTGGGTATGTGTGTGTGAAATTCATGAAGTTCTCAGTGAAGGATTGATAGTTCTTGTGCACAGGGACCAGACAGCATCTTTTGGCTCATGCTAGGATTTAATTAGACATTGTATAAGGAAATTTCAGGACAGTGCAGATTTAAGATGTAAATGAAGCAGTGGAGCCACAGCGTGTGCTGAAGGCTGTGTCCAAACACCTGTTGCTCCCTTAGTTAAATGTTGGTTCTTGTGAACAGTCGTGAGGGATGTGTGGGCATCAGTTTGTGTGTTGTAGGAAGAGCTGAAGTGATGATGTAAGGGCTTTATTCCACAATTTCCTTCCTTGTCCTCCATAACTGTTTTGCAATGGAAAAATGTTGTTTTACTCAGTACAGATTGCAGTAGCAAAAGGAGGAGTGCTCTTAATTTCCTTCAAAATAAAAATCTTAAACCACCTGTCAACTGAACTTGGAGGAAAGATACGGAGATGGGAGAAGAGCCTCTACTCAATGTTTCTGTGCATGTAATTGTATAATATTTTTTTGTGTGTTTTGCTTTTAAAACGCATTCATATTCTCATCAGTCAGGGTCACAGCAGTATCTTTCCAATACTTAGAGATATTTAGAGAAATTGTTCACGTTTTCTCTTCTTTGAGTGATGTCAACACTGATTCCAGGATTAGACTCCCTGCAAAATGAACATGAAAGAGCCCCCAGCGCAGTCAGCTGAAGCAGCCTCTGAAAGCAGTGATTTCCAATAATCCAGCTGGCTCTGTGCTGGCACAGATGGGCAGCACTGGCCTGCCGGCCACCTCGGCTCAGCTGTGGGCCCTGCAATAAGCGTCCTGCATTAGCGATATTTCAAACTGCTGCAGTTCTTTCCTGAAGTGGTCATTGGTTTACACTCTGGGAGGTTTTTACTGCCTGCTGTAAGTATTTCAAGATATACTGTAATTAATCACCTTGGAACGATTGCTGTTAACATTTTTAGCATTTATCACCAGTTAGCAGTTGATGAGATTTCTGTTCCAGTGGAAAGAACGGACGCAACTCTTTTGGAAGTGTGTGGTAAGGGTTCATCAGTGTGGTTAGGTCCCTATAAAAATAACGATACCGAGTGAGTTTTCGTTAATTTGAAATGTCTTTCTGAATACCTTAAAATCTATGCTGTTTTTAAGGAGAACTTTAGTCTTTAATGCTGCATGGCTTTTTTTGAATCGATACTTCTCCTTTAAACATATGTGGTCTTTGGAGACGTGCTGGGAAAGATGACCATGCAAACCCAGTGACAATGGTAAAGTTCAGCACAGTGTTCTTGAGCAGTGCTTGCAATCTCGTTCTGAACAGCGCTGTGAGTCTGCTGTGTCATAAGTGTGAGAAACTTAACATTTTGAACGTGATGGTTGAGATTCTCACCTTCAGCATGATTTTATGGCTAAAGCATTAGGGAACAAATAGAAGACGGACTGTGGATTTCAAGAAATAACATTTGCAAGCATTTGCTCTTTATCTTATCAAGTCAGCCAGCCCTGCTATATGTGCCTGCAGTTTACAGGGAGCTCTTCAAAGTTGATCAAAAAGACTTTTGAAACTCGGGGTGGATTTCATTATAATCCTAATTGTAATAATTGCCTTTTTAAACTAAGAGAAGCACAGAGTGATGAGATGAGACAGAGAGGGCAAAACAGAAGTAAACATTTCTTTCCTCATGGTGTCCTTGTGGGCAAGTCCTTCCTTTCTTTCAGTCTTGCTCTCAGTTCATCCACTGATGCAGTGGGTTCCCATACAGTGTGCCCAGGCTCCTGTCATCCTTGAGAAGTTTCTCCTGTCACCTGAAGGCCCAGCTGTGCCTGTCTTGGCAATCCCAGCCTGAACACCAGGCTCGCTACCCCTCACCTCTCCTGCTTGCTCTGCCCTGGATGCTGAGTTCCTCTCACAGAATCAGAGCAGTTTTGGAGAACGCACAGATCCTTTACAAAGACAGCTTGTTTTATGTGATGGGAATCAAATTTACATATGCCTTTGTTCTTTGTAAATGCTGTTGTTTCGATGGGAATAACTTTTCTAACCAAACAGCTGCTAAACTCGTGCGTCACTTTCTGCTCATCTAAAATTCTTGCAAAGCTTGTTAATGTCCATTTATGTACAGCTGGCACCTCCATTTACTGTGTATGTTCTGTAAGATCTGTGCCAGGCTGAAATAAAGGTGGGGAAAAAGTTGGTGCTGTGGTGTTAGGGTGTGCATGAATGGATATGAGATGCTGAAATCTTCTTACATCTCTTGACTAACACATAACGTGTTTTTCCCTTAGACTTGTGTGCACTCATTTCACATATTTGAGTGAAAAGCAGAAAAAAAGTCCCCAACAACTGTTTTCAAAATACTTTCAGCGTTGGCAGTTGTTGCTGAGCAAAATCTAAAATGTGAAGTCTTTGTGCTTTTGAAAATTAGCGCTTCAGCAAGTGCGTGGCTGTGCTTAGCAGGTCTGGCTTTGTGACTAGGGCTGCTGATTTATCCAGTAATGACATCGTGCTGAGGGCAGTTCTGACTAAGAGGTCTTTACAAATGCTATGCGTTCCAAAGATGTAAACCCTGGCATACGATGCGAAAGGCACTTAGACGGTCAATTATCCTTGTTAGGATCTTGTCCATTATGGCTTGAGACTGAGTGATACAGTGATGTAAAATAAACAGCTGAGAGAAGAAAATTGAAAGGAGATTGAATACTATGGTCCACCTTTCTTCATTGCCAGTATATCTCACTTTTAATTCTGAATGTGCAAGTCTCCTCACTGTGTTCTTGAACTCCCAATTGTATAGGATTTATGTTTCAGCACGTCCTGGAACCATCTATTTTTGTTTTGTGGCTGCTTTACATTTTAGTAAACCTCTTCCCTTTCATTACAGAAGACCGACATAAAAATAATACTTTCAATATGCTGTTTTTATTTATCTACATTCTGTCATGATATACTTTGATGTAAGTTTTTAATTTTGCTTCAGCTTTCAGCTGTTGTAGCAGTTACTGCTCAGGGTCAGCGATGAGGTTAGCCACAGTAGCACAAAACAATTTCCTGTTCTCACAGCCCAGGTAGCATTTGGATGTGGATTAAATTTTACCACATTTTCCAGTAGCCAGACACAATTATTTCTAATGAGCTTTAAATTGCTTCTAGAGCACGTATTTCCAAACTTAGGGTGGTGATCCATTCAGTGCTAGCGACTTCATAAGACAGCACTTCTTCTTCCGAGCTGTGGTTAAGCAGGTATTTCTAATCAGTGGATTTGCTTACAAGTGGCTTGCTCACTGTTCTCAATTGCTGTTCATCTGTTGTCCTCTCTCCTGCAATGCTGCTTCCATAATATATTGTTCTTCATTACTGACTCGGATTTCATCATCGTTTTCTTTTGGCAAATTTATCTTGGCATTATTCACGCTGCTTGTGCCATTTTGAGAGGTTTTAATGCACGTTTTGTTGTTCTGGAGGCTTTAAAAATTAGTTTTTGAAGTTCTGCTCTCATCTTTACGATTCATGTTTTCCTTTTGTTTTCCATATATGGCCACTTTGCTATCCTGCCCTGGCATTCTGAACACGTGGAAGGCATACGTTCAAAACTCATCTTTATGGGGCGGTAATGAATAATAAGAAATATGAAAGTGGAAAAGACAAGGAACATTATTTTTCCCTCTATAAATATGGTAAGTTTTCACAACCTCTGTTTAAGCTTACCAAAGTTTGTTGGTTTTTTTTTCAACTTAATCCAATTGACGCTTTAAAACATTATTTGGTTGCATTATTACCAGTGCTGCTTATTGAACTGAATTCTAGAACATGCCCTGCTTAACGGAAACTCAGCCATAAGGAAATCATCTCTGTATTATAGCTCCTACTGTAAAAGCAATTAAGCGAGAGCATGAAAGAGAAGCTGCCTGTCCTGACATGCTCCCACATCGAGGAGGGTTGAGGGAATGAGCTGTGCAAAGAGCTCTGGAGCATATTGCCTGCGGGATTCTGAGGCGCGGCGATGTTATCTTCGGTCAGAGCATCCCGAGATGTTTTGTAGCTGGCTTTGTCTTCCTCCTGTGCATGCACACATATTTTTCCTACAGCTCCTTCATCCCAAAGTGCTGAGATGCTGACACTGCCGGCCAAACGCAGACACTAATTTCCTGTATACCAGTGTCACCCAGTATCTTTAAAATTCTTTCTCTGACCCCTGCAGTGATTTTGTATCATCTCTGAGGCTGAAGGAGCTTGTAATGCTTTGCATGTAACATATTGCTGTGGCAAATGCAGGGCAAAAAGTTATATTAAAAATTCTTATTAATTTTGAAACTCGGCCTATTTTTAAGGTTTTGCATTATTCTGTTTCTCCCACGTTAAGGATTTGGCCTAAGCTGTCTTTTTATTTGACTTTTTAATCCTCAGCAGTAACTCTGAAAGTTTGTTGATTGGTTTCTGCAGTTTCCATTCTGACAGGAGCTGTGAATTTCAAATACCATCTAAAAATTCTTTACATCGAAGGTCATTTTTATGGTGACTTAATTTCCTTAAATCATTTCTTATAACAATCGTTTATGAAATTGCATTTCAGTGTTCTGCTGTGAGGATTATAAATGTCAACGTACCCTCAGTGGCTGTTCTGGACCTGATCCCAAGTCCTTCAGTAAATTCCTCTACGTTCAGTGGTATCCATGGTGCATGAAAATACTCCCCTGAAGCTCCAACTAAATGCTACATGTAGAACATTCTTCTTTTTCATCTGGTCAGGCATAGCACCGTACTTGATATTTTTTTTCAATAACTAATGCTAAAACACCAGTCTGTTGCAGCACAGTATCTATTGACTTGTAGGCTGATGGCTGGGGGCACTGGTAACAGGGACCACAAGGTCTCTCACCTCTGCTGCTAATTTGAAATGAGCTGTTCCTACTCTTAGGCCCTTTTAAAATGAGTCCATGAACGCAGAACAGTTCTCTGTGGACTCCGTTCACTTGCAAAAAACAGCTTTTAATCTTGCACTAGTCACTAATTCTTCTCAGTGTTTTCATTAGAAAGGATGGGCACTGAATTCCTCCCTGCCAGAGCTGCCTGGGGTGAGGCTGGGTTGGTGCCCTTCTAGATGGAATGTGTTGTGCTGATAAATGGATTTAAGGCTATAATCATCCAGTGATTTTTTTTACTTTTTTTTTTTTTTTTTTATGAAGTAATAAAAATGCTAGAAGACCAACCCTGGAGTAACTCCTATAATTCATGCTCCCGAGCTAAGGGATTCCTAGGGTTTTTTTTCAACTTCCTTCCTCATCGTTCCATTTTTCCATCAACTTCCAATTAATTTCTATATACAGTACATAGTTGCCTGCTTGACATCTCTTTCCATCTATTGTTGCATATTACATCGAGTTCTTGAAGGAGCTAGGATTTCATGGTGCCATGGATTGATCAGCTATGGATCAAGTGCTGTTTCCTTGGATTGAGAACTTTGTCTTTTTCTGAAGTTTGGTATCTATTGGTGTTATTAAACGTTTTCAGTAGCAAGCTTAGTAGTGCACAAAACCAGACAAGGTGTCCTACAGCACACGTACCTTTCTGACACGTTTTTGTCGTAGCAGTTGTTCACTGGTTTACACAGTGGCTTCCAAACATGATGTGTGCCTTTCCTCTTCATCTCACGTGCTGACTGGTTGGTTGGTCAACTGTTGCAGAATTGGAACTTCCTTAAACTTCTCATTAACTGGACCTGGTCGTGTCACAAAGAGGGATAATAATAATAATAATAATGATCTGACTGGGATGTCTTAAATGGGCACCTGTAGGACCTTTATTTTAATTGCATTCCTGATTATATGTAAATAAAAAGTATTGCAGTAAACATATCCAAGTACAGTAGAAGACATTCTTTATATTTTACTGTGTAACTTTTTGAAGAGGAGCTTTTTGAAGCAGGTCATTCATAGTAGAATGGATCTGACACCATCTCAAATGAATTTCTATCCAGTAGCAGTCATTGGAATTCAGCCTCTTCCCCACTTGCATTATGTTCACGTCTGTAGCCTTCAAGTGCTTATATGGTCATTTTCAGTATCGAAAGCATTTTCATCGTAAGCATTAATTTTCATTAATTAATTCTAATTCTAAGTGACCGTCTTTCCAAGCTGATTTCCAAGTTGATTCTTCTCTTCCCTTCCATAACTCCAGTGATGCCATTCCTACTCTTCCAAATCCTGGCTACTACTTCAAAGTAATCCCTGATTGTACTCCCAGTCCTTTAAGTCTGCTCTTCTGTTAGAACCTGATGGATAAAGTGCTTTGTACTTGCTAGAGTGATAAAGAACATTAATGTTTTAAATGGTATCGTGTGCCTTTGTCCCTGTTTGCATGAACACCACCAAGGAGTGATACTTCAGTGTGTATATTTTGCCAATTATGTGATGTAAATTTCTGATTTGCAACGATCAATAACGTTAAGAAAAAAATTAAGGTGAAAATTAGCATGGGTAGGAAGGACAGTTGTGGAGAGATTGTTTATTAACAAGCCTAATAACACTTCATTTGTATTAAACAATGGTGGGCGACCTGAGATGGGTGATGTGTGATGCAAGTTTTTCAGCAGTATGTTTGAATTGCCCATTACAGAAGGAAAACGGGCTCCCACAAATACTTCTCTCAGATGTGTTTGGAACTGTGAGCAGTAATGGCCCAGGTCACCGCTGCTCCGTGTTCCAAGGTGCCAGAATCGCCATGACAGCTTGGTTAGATAGCAGGCAAATGAAGCACCTGATCTGCAGACCTTCGTGCTTTTATTTGTAGGAAGTCTTTTAAAAGTACCTGAGTTTGTGTTATTTTCATCTGGTTAGAATTAAAAAGAATGAACTCTTGTTGAGTACTAACAGAGTGAAGACCAGGTTAGCTTCTGCACTTGCCAGGCTTGCCACGGTCAGTGCCTGGTGAGCCTGCTTCATGGTAGAGATGAAGCTCTCAATCTCAGCTTTGTTCATCCAACTGTTTTAGCTCCATTCCATTAATTACTTTTTTTCTAATGCACTTTTCTCATGAAGACAAACTAAAACTGGGATGCTGTGAAAATAAGATGACGTTATGACAAGAGCCTTTAAAAAACTTGGTGATGAAAGCCTGTGAATGGTCAGATTTGTTCAGGGCATTGCAGTGGGATCTGCTGTGCAGCTGCACGGTGGATCCAAAAGCCACTATTGCCTGGTAGTGGCAACTGCAAATATTTACAGTTAGCTGTTATTTTTACATTTTAAACATGGATTTTAATTAAAAAGTCATTCCCATCTGTGACTGGTAAAATAGAGGCTTTTGTAATGGACATATTTGTTTTCTGAGGGATATATTTAGTGTGTGTATACATCAGCAGCCATCCCAAGAGACCATCATGGTAATGGATCAAAACCAGGCTTTGCTGCAGCGTGAGCAACTATAAAACCGTGTGTTGCAGCTCTGTTGAGATGATGAGTTCACGCTGATAGACTCAGCCACGCTCTGGGCGTAAATCAATGGCAGGAATTCCACTGCGTATATTTCAATTTTTGCATATTAATTCCCTGGTGACTTTTAAGTTCTAGTCATGCTTACTGAACAATTCTTTTACTGTAAATGCAGAAACAATTTTTCCTTCCGAATAGTAATGAAAATAAAGACAAAATATGGGCTTAGTGCCATCAAAATACTGCGGATTTGCAGCTGCTTACAGAAGTTTCTTTCTTTCTTTCTTTCTTTCTTTTTATGAAAACAGGTGATCAGATCCTCTCTCTTGGGACTTTGTCAGAAGATCAGGGTTATCCACTGAAACTCAGGGCGTTTCCATCTGTTACTCTGCGCTCAAATCTGCCTGATGTGGAAATTATATCCGCTTTGGCTTCTTGGAGTCGTATGGGGACAAGCACTTTGACAGGCCTTTGTCAGAACGCTGCTTTCAGCATCCCACAGTGACTTGCTAGTAAGCAATTGCTCATCTTGGGAGTCTTCTCTTGAAACATGAAATAACACCACCACAGGCTTTATATTGTTATGATGAGACAGAAGGGTCTAGAACAGCTCGCATGCATTTTCCAGTTACTTGGATTGATTTACATTGAGACATCTAAAATACAGGGGTGATAAAGCTGCCATGTGAAAGGGGATTGAAGGGAATGTGAAAGGATTTCCTTTAAGCTTTTGTGAGGAGAAAAAAAAAAATTTTTAAAGCTGAATTTTGTTCTTTTCCATGTTTTGTTCAGAACTGTCATTTTCTTGCTGGGGGAGACAAATTCTGGACAGCTAGAGATGATTAACATCCAGATTTGTGCCTATCACAAGAAGGAAATCCTTAGAACTGGAAAAGCTTCTCTCAGTGAAGACCTGATTACTGGTTGTATCGTGAAGCGCAGGCATTTTGCACGTTCCTAGCCATGCAGAAATACATGTCCTCAACACAGGTCCTTAAGAGTAAGCTTGCTCACTGTGCCAAACAAACAGGCAGGTGCTTTTGCCTGTGCAGGAACTCACTTAAGCACAGAGAATACATCTCTGAGAGAACTTGGGGGAAATGTGTGATAAATCCCAGTGAGATTTCCTGCAGAAGGTGAGATACAAGCACCAGGCCTGTCCAGCTGACATGCTGAACAGCCTGTTACACTGCTTTTACTGGACTGAAGGCTACGTCGCATGTCAGAGCAGGGCAATACTATCCAGAGGTGGTTTTAAATTAGTAGTTTATATCCTGTGGTAAATTGGAAAAGTTTCAATTTACCAAGGACACGAAGATATTTTCCCTATGTAAATGTTCTGATTTAATGGCTAAATTACAATTTAACACGTCATAAAAATGTGGTCTTCTGTGATCTGCTAACGTCATTAATATCAGTTAATGCAGATGTCCATATTTATTACTAACATATACTTCTTTCATTTTCAGCAATATCAAAAGCTAAGCCAGTCTTATTACCTACTTTTGGAACGTCTGACCCAAGATCATATGGATTTCATTACCAGCTTAGAGCCTCATGTCCTGATCTGTGTCCTCACCTCCGTGTCTGGAGGACTTACTGCTCGAGGTAAGACTTGTTCACACACTGCTGAAGAAGAAATTCTAGGAGTTGAATTACAGTTGTTAGCTGTGGTTAAGGTTTATTTGCACTTTCCAAAGTAAATGGAGAGATTCCCAAAGTAGCTCATACCTTATAGCACGTTCTTTGCATCTTAAACAGGACGGCAAACGTCAGTGGAAGGTTTTGAACATTTTAAGAATGTGTCTATTTTGGTTAACAGAGATGAGTTATTTTGAACATCTAACCTGTCGGTTACTATAGTGGTATTTTTAAGTTATCCTTTCTTAAAAACTGGAATGGCTAAAACTATTAAGGTGCCTCTGGTGGGACTGCATTGAAAATTCATGCATTTGTTACTCAGAAGTAAAATATATTTGTCAGTACGTGTACAGGAATCTGCTAGGGTTTGTTTTTATTTGCTCAACATAGCTGTTGTATAAAAAAATGCTTATTCTGCACTGCTGTGATATGATTGGGGGAGTTTGAAGTTATCTTCCTAAGTGGAAAAAAGAAATAAGATTTTTAATTATTCAGTACTTCTTGGATGTGCTTTAGAGTAGAATCAGAGTAAGGAGCATACTTGGAGTAACAGTAAAAATGCAGCAGTCTGATTGCAGTTAATTTTATTCTCTTGCACAATTTATTCCGTGTTCTTTAACCAGATGACAATCTGAATTTTTGGGGTTCTGGTGGGTTTTCTTTTTCGGTAGCTTAAATTCATTTGGAATACAGAAGAGAAGACTGGGCATTTGGGAGAAGAAAAAATACGTAGTTGTGTCCTGATGAGCGGAGAATGCCATGCATTTGTATGGTGTTTGACTGAGAAACTCTTTAAAACCCTACAGTAGTACGTATTGATTAGGGTGGTTATTAAGGGAAAAAATAGAAACGTGTAACATTAGTGTGTATGGATGTTGCTCCATAATAGCTAGCGTTTCTCATTACTGCCAAGTGTCAGTCAAGCCCCACAGGAATGCATGAATGCACTGAGGCTCACAAAGCATTTGCTATGTTAAACACATTCAGCAGTTTTTGCTGCAAGAGGGAAACCACTCTTCACAAGAAAATGGGTAGTGAATAGCTAAGCAACAGCAGTAAAGTAGTATTCAGGTCACTTTATTATATAATGCTGAAATCCATCTTCTCCCAGATATTTTGAGTGCTTTGTCACCTGTAATGATGGTACAGCAGTTTATGCCTATGGGCTGGTTCTGCTGCGAGGCTGCCTGTTGATTGTTTGCAAATGGATGTGTTGTACTCAGTGTTTGTTTGACAGACAGCTGCCAGTTTAGCCATGTTCCTCATCCCTGCTATTACTCCACACCACATCTCTTCCATTTGAGATATTGGATATATTCATTTTAATAATTCACTACCATACCAGGTTTACTTTAACTGTCTCTTTGAAATCCAATTTGAATTCATGTAAAAGAGAAGAACATTTAAAAGCTATATGAGCTTCAGCCTTCATGTGCTCCGTTTACTTTCCCCTCTCAAAAGTGTTGATCTCCCTCTCGAGGCAGACAGGAGGAGTAAGAGAAGTGTCTGTTTTCAGTGGTGGTTGTAAAGTTTTGTGCTTTAGGTATCCGGGAGTTGAATCATGAGGAATGACTTTTAGGAATGCTTTCTTTTCTGAAAAAAGTATCAACAAAAAATTTAACTCACCTTTTGTAAACCGTACATTGCTTAGCCAGGGTGTTCATTTCACCTTGAAGCACCTAAAATAAACACAAATTGCAAGACTGAAAGTATTTAGGCTTGTGGGGTTTTTTAAACTTCACTGAAGCTCCACGCAGCCCATCAGAAGCTGTTGTTCTTTGCGTTCATTCTTTTTTCTTTCTTCACTCTGATTCCCTCAGAGCCATTTTCCATCTTTGACGTGTGCCAGGTCTGCCTGTCAGTCAGAGCCGCTGTTTGCATGTTGCCGACAGAGGATGTGGAGCCTCTGTCCTTGAAGATATTCCCAGATGTCTGGAGCAACCTGTCTGATTTTGGCCCTGTTTTGAGCAGGAGCTTGGACTGCAGGGCTGGTCCTGCTTGGTTCCTGCCACCACCTTTAGAATCCCACCATATTTTTCCTGGACTTTCCACTCGTGTTCTCTGGTTTTCTAAAACAGTTCTTTATTCTACCGAAATGCCTATGCAGCCCTTCACCTCTGTGAACATTTCTTACACGTTAGAAGTAATTATCACTTACCATAATTGGTCAGCTAGAAAACGCTTCTTGTTTTACTTGTTGTGTTGGTTTGATGAAGGGATTATTTTTCCTCAGTATCATGCTTCTTAACACTGAGTGTTTCATCAACTGGTGCTGATGTGGACCATTCCATTCCTCATTTATGTTCCAGAAGTTTTACTTAAGTACTGCGTGATTTTCCCACACTCCACAGTGCCACGTCCAGGTGGACTCTCTTTGGTGAGTTTGCAGCATTTTGGTATCATCTCGGAGTTTGTTACCTCTGCACTTTCTTAAGATTCATTCTTCTATCTTTTATCCCTTCTAAAATCTTGGTGTTTGGAGCATTTACACTTGTCAGTATAGTGAAATACAAATTTATTTCTTAGGTGTTAGTTGATTACATGCATCCTTCCTGCCCTTAGCAAATAGGCAAGTAAGTCTATCCAGGTATTGCCTCTTACATCAGGGGCATGTGAACATTGTCGGAATAGTAGGGCTCAGGGCTATAAATCATCAGGGAGGTCATTGTATTCTAAGCTGATTAGAAAGTATAAGTCATCTGCAGAAATGTTTATAAAAACAAAATAGCTGGCTTTTTGTTTTAAAAATCAAATACTGGGAAATCTCCTCCATTTGACAGCAGAAAAAAACCCTTATCTGCCTTTTTCTCTATTCCCTTTACATGTGTGAAAGCTTTGAGATTCTCACTGTTGTCAACTGTAGGATAAACATTCTCCAAATCCTTATTTCTGAGGAGTGCTCATTTTGTTTCTGAGTAAATACCTTGCTTGATTCCACACTTCATAAATACTGTGAAGGAATATGTATTCCTTTGGAGGGCCCTAGCAGTAAATCAGCTGTAATGGAAGCCCTCATCTGAGCTTTTATTGCAAGGATAAACACTCCAATAGTTCTCTTCTAAAGTGTTTACCTGGCTTTTTCACAGCTGACTCAGTGGATCAGAGCCTTTTAATGTAGTCCTCCTGGCAGACTGTCACTAATCTCTGCAAAGCTTTTCTAATTCTTGTATGATTAATAGTGTAGTGTGCTATTCATTGAGGAAAAAAGCAAAACATTTTTTCTGTCTTGCTGCCTAATTTAGATGTTAAATTGCTAAATCCATTTACTTTCTAGGTTTAGTCTCAAAGGCAAATAATGCCAGTATTGAACTGCAAGCAATTGATGGACGGGGAAGATATCACTTAACTCCCTTTCCTTACCTTTATGTGAAAAACGAAACAAAATCTTCTAATTTGCAGAGATTCAGTAATGTCATTAAGCTGTAAAGAACTAATTCCCCTTCAGCATGCTCTGGTCATATTGTTTACACCAAAAGTTGCTTGGTTTCTTTGCTTTTTCTTAAATAACTCATTCTAACATACAAACTCTATTTCCACTTACTTGAGCTAATGGATAATTGGAATTGCACGCATAATGCAAAAACATGGATGTAATTAAAGGAAAAAAATGCATGTGAATTCAACATTGCTAATGTCAAATAAATACATGCTGGCAAAGAAGAAACTAAAGGAGCCAGGTTAACATGATGGTGACCGACACCAGAATTGTCATCCCTGTCTCCTCACCAGCACCAGCAGCTATCAGCAAACTGGCTCTCACTTGGTTTTGCCTACCAGGGCTGCTGAAATGCTGCTGGACCCCAGCTGCACACGTGGGGCTGGTTCTGGCTGTAGCCACATGCTGTAACCACGGCCTGCTTGCTTCCCAGTCCAAATGATCAGTTCACAGACAGTAGAGCTGAGTTGACCAGAAATGAGAAATGTGGTTTGACTGCATTTTTTCCTGATTACTCCAAGCTTTTACCTCGGTGTCTTTTATTATTCTATCCTTATTATGTCTTCTCCATCATTTCTTCTGACCATCGCCTGGAATCGGTAGCTCCTCGTTGCTCTTGTTTGTTCTATTTATTTGGTTGCCTTGCTTGTCTCACTAAGATTTAGTGAGAGAGCTCTTCTGCTCCAGCACAAGGTTCCACATGCCCAGAAGAGTCATTCAAGGGAGTTTGCTTGACGCTCCCTGTCTCTTATATCCTTGCAATCAAAAGGAAAAATGAGCATAGGGAAGCATATTTGATATATAGTTATGGGCAAATTTAAGTAGCTCTTAACACTCATATCAGATTCTCACGAGCAAATGATAGCGTAGACCTGTCTGCTGTCCTGCTGAAATCACTTACTGTCGAATGTAAAATATCTGCTTGTACAGTATCAGCATGTTTAGAACTACTGCTGTTTTGTAAACCGATGATAGTGATTTACTTTGTATTATTCAATTTAAAAAGAAATAGAGTTAAGCACTGGTTTAGAAATACAGCAGAGCCCTCCTATGAAATATGTATTTTCAAGTCTCTCACTTGTTATTGATGGTGATTCAATTCCACTATGAATTGCATTTCTAGTTTATATGCAGGACCGTTCTGGTTGAGAACACGGTGAGTGCCAGGTTCCAGTCTTTACTTTGGCAAGACTCATAACTGTGAACTTGGCTTTGTGTGGGTGACATTTCTTCAGATCCTGCTCCATTGAATTAGGTCCTAGTAAGCCCACACGGCCAATGGAGACCAATGGAGACTGGAGCTCGTTCCTGTGAGCTGGTTGACAGATTTCAGCTCCTGCTGCTAAGTCAGCCAGTAGCTTTGGAGGATCAAGTCTTAGGAGACCTTTTGTAGCTTCATTGCCAGCCAACAGTTCTTCAGCATTTATTTCAAAACAATTGTAGCAAAATGCAATTAGTTTATAGATAGCAAAGAGTTAATAGTGCCAGCACAGAGCTTAAGGAGTTAAGCAAGCACAGATCAAAATACTTG